ATTTGTCAATTTACCAACAAATACGCAAAAAAGGGAAAATAAGATTATCATCCAACCATTCGATAAAATGGTCTCCTGTTACAGTGACAGAAATGTACATGTTCATAGATTTATTCTTTTTGATGACGAGAAAAAAAAACTTTAGAAATACACGAGTATTGGTCGAGTCATAGGTCTATAAACCAACCCATATTTGGTCAAACAATGTCTCGAGACCGCTATAGAACAATCTTGTCATTTTTGCATTTTAATATCAACAACAAAACCTTACAGACAAGCTGACAAAATTGAGACCATTTTTAAATGAAGTGCTGATTAAATTTAAATCATCCTTTAACTACCACGAAAATATTTGCACCGATGAGAGCTTTGTTCAAAAGAAGGTTAGGCTTTAAACAATATAGTAGGTTTGGTGTAAATTTTTTTGTAATGTGCGATACTTAAATAAGTTACATTTTAAAATTTATTATTTATGTTGGAAGTTCAACGGAAATTCAGAATGATTTTAATTTGGGATAATCAGGTGCAGTTTTGACAACTTTGCTCACAAAAATAATATTTCAGCAAAGGACGAACATTATACATTGATAATTGGTTCTCAAGCCCCGCATTATCTCGTGTTCTTCTTAATGGAACAAATGTTTTTGCAACGGTAAGAAAAAACCGTGTAGGAATGCCAAGTTTCAGTAAGGTCACATAAGGAGCTGTGGAAGCTACATACAGATAACTTTATGTCGTTTAAATGGCACGATCACTGCGATATGCATTTCTTGTCCAGTTTTCGTAAAAATGTTTCACTGGATAGTGGTAAAAAAGATCACCTTACTCAACAACCTATTACGAAACCTGAAGCCATCCTGGATTACAACAAAAATATGGGCACTGTGATAAAACGGACATGCTTTTATGATGCTGTGATAGCGTTCCACCACGTTGCTGTCCACGTCATGAAGTAAACTTCGAGCATGGCTGGCAATACCTTGAATCATAATAAAGATTCTCTTCCACAGAGAACTTAGCTTAAAATCACTTGGAATATCATTTTGCTCCACATTTCCTGTTTTATCACAGAAATGTGTTTTGCATTCAAGGTGATTCCCAAAAGCATGATGTGCTTGCAAAATGTCATCAAATAAATATTGCTCCTTGCTTAATTGCTTTTTTTATGCAGGATCTCATAGTCATGATTCTTGATGTTGTTAACAGTGTTCTGTGACTTTTTAAATATTTAGTTTCGGTTTGAAGTGATTGCATCTTATTACAAAAATTCCTCAGTAAATGATTTCTGCATTCAACCTTCTCAACTGTAATATCTTGATATGGTCTTACTTGCAAAATTTTGGAATAAGTGCTTGAGTCACCGTCAGATATGAGTCTTCCGTATATCAGACCGTAGGTAGCCAAAGATTGTTTAAAACCTTCCACAATAATTTCACTCTCCATTCCTGTGGACGGACCGGTATAGTTTTTAGAGCAGAAATGCTCAGGAATTGTTTTTTTATTCTTCGCAGCACGATCACAATGGTAGCAGTATTTGTTTCGCACTCCCAAATACAAAATTTTGCCTGTTTTTCTGCCTATAATTGCGGCAGCACCGGATAAAGCCGAATAATTTTTTTTGTATGACCTTTTACCATACACACCGTCTGCTATCACATCTATGATTGGCGTGCTATTTTTAGTGACTCTGCCTTCTGCTATAGCCATATTCCTCTCTTCTTCAGCTGCTTGGTCCATGGACTGTTGTGCAAGTTGCTGCCAGTTTCCAGACAACAATTTGTGGTTCTTTTGGTAAGTTTTTTGAGACATTATTGGTAATGATTTCTTAAATTTACGCGAACACTACACATTGAATAAAACTATTATTTACGGATTTTATCGCGTTTAATTACTTTAATTTATTTTTATTATTATCCCGACGTTTCGGGTGCTTTACAGCGCCCATGGTCACGGGGAGTACTGAGATGTTTGACATCCCAATGTCATAGTTAGTCCGGCTACCTTCAGTTTTTTAATATTAATTTTTGGTCCGATTTACGCAAAACGAGCTTATAGTATCATGAAGTCTTGCAGTGCTTGGGTTTGGGTTTAATTTTGTTGATTATAGGATCCCAAGCAGATGGTAGCACCCAACCATCTTCTCTATTGAAATTTGGATGTTTTTTAATTTCAATAGCCTCGCGTATCATTCTTGGTAGGAATCGGTGTTCTTTTGCGAGAATTTGTGGTTTATCAAATCTAATGTAATGGTGGGGACGATCTTGAACATGTTCGCAGACTGCAGACTTCCCGGAGCGTCGGTGCTTCACATCAGCTATATGTTCCTTCACGCGGGTTTTTATAGATCTCTTTGTTTGACCTATGTAAGAGAGACCACATTCACAATCTAGCTTGTACACACCTGCATCTTGTAGAGGAATATTACATTTGATGGATGGTAAAAATTGACTAATCTTCTTCAGCGGCTTGTAGTATGTCTTAATAGACGCTCGCTTCAAGATGTAGCCAATCTTGTCCGTGACTCCTCCAACATATGGTAGTAGAGCAGGTGCGCGCTCGACTGTTGCCGGCTTCACTCGTTCACTGTGACGTAGGCGCGGGACCCGAAGCTTGTTGTCTTGCAATACTTGCTTGACGTGCTGAAGCTCCGGGGCCAGATGTTTTCTGTCACAGATCCCTCGTGCTCTCTGAAACAAAGATTTACCCACGGTAGCTAACTGTGAAGGATGATGGTGAGATTCACCATTTAGATATCGGTTGGTATGGGTTTTTTCCTATACACAGTGTGACCAATAGTGTTATCAGGATTTCGGATGACTAAAACATCTAGGAAAGCTAAAGAATTATTTGCCTCTAACTCCATTGTGAATTGTATTTTAGAGTTTACGGAGTTAAGGTGGTCTAAAAAATGCAGTTACTTTGTCAGATGGTAAAATTGTGAAAGTGTCGTCTACGTACCGTTTGTAGAACCTTGGATTTACAGGAGCAGTAAGAAGGGCTTTCTCCTCAAAATCCTCCATGAATATGTCGGCGACTATGGGAGACACAGGTGAGCCCATCGCCACACCATCTACTTGCTTGTAGAACTCCTCCTTCCACAATAGATAGCCAGATGTGAGGCAATGTTCAAGTAGTATTGCATATTCTTGAGGCATGTTATTTTCTTCTAGCTTCCTAGTTACAATTGAGATGCAGTCCACAATAGGTAGGCATGTAAATAGTGACTGAACATCAAAACTGACCACAGTTTCATTGTTAGCGAGATGTAGGTCTTTTATCTCACTCACAAAATGGTATGAATCCTTTGTGTGTGCTCTGGTATGTCCTCTCAGTGGTGATAGTATTTTTGCTAAGTATTGTGCCAGCTTATAAGTTGGTGAATCGATCTGGCTCACTATGGGACGTAGTGGAGCGTTTGGTTTGTGTATCTTCGGTAACCCATACAACCTCGGTGGTTTGGCACATGATGGTATTAGCGAATTCACGTCGAGATTTAATTTTTCGGAGTATTTCTTTATTAAATCGCTAGTTGTTTTAAGCGTGTTAGTTGTAGGGTCTGTTTTGACCTTTTTATATGTACTTTCGTCCGATAAAAGTTGTTGTATTTTAAAATTATATTCCGACGTGTCCATTACTACCGTAGCATTTCCTTTATCCGCGCGGAGAATCGTGAGTTCTGGTCTGTTCCGTAAGTTATTTAGCGCTGTAAATTCATCTTTGGGAAGGTTTGGTTTCGGCACTGAACTGCGACGTAACAAGGACGAAATATCTTGACGTATGGCCTCCAAATCTTCCTTACCGATATTATTCTTAAACAGACAATCCTCAACACTGCAGATAATTTCTTCGTACGGGATTTTTCTGCTTGGGATCCTATAATCAACAAAATTAAACCCAAACCCAAGCATACCACTGCAAGACTTCATGATACTATAAGCTCGTTTTGCGTAAATCGGACCAAAAATTAATATTAAAAAAACTGAAGGTAGCCGGACTAACTATGACATTGGGACGTCAAACATCTCAGTCCCCCCCGTGACCATGGGCGCTTTAAAGCACCCGAAACGTCGGGATAATAATAAAAATAAATTAAAGTAATTAAACGCGATAAAATCCGTAAATAATAGTTTTATTCAATGTGTAGTGTTCGCGTAAATTTAAGAAATCATTAACAATAATGTCTCAAAAAACTTACCTAAAGAACCACAAATTGTTGTCTGGAAACTGGCAGCAACTTGCACAACAGTCCATGGACCAAGCAGCTGAAGAAGAGAGGAATATGGCTATAGCAGAAGGCAGAGTCACTAAAAATAGCACGCCAATCATAGATGTGATAGCAGACGGTGTGTATGGTAAAAGGTCATACAAAAAAAATTATTCGGCTTTATCCGGTGCTGCCGCAATTATAGGCAGAAAAACAGGAAAAATTTTGTATTTGGGAGTGCGAAACAAATACTGCTCCCATTGTGATCGTGCTGCGAAGAATAAAAAAACAATTCCTGAGCATTTCTGCTCTAAAAACTATACCGGTCCGTCCACAGGAATGGAGAGTGAAATTATTGTGGAAGGTTTTAAACAATCTTTGGCTACCCACGGTCTGATATACGGAAGACTCATATCTGACGGTGACTCAAGCACTTATTCCAAAATTTTGCAAGTAAGACCATATCAAGATATTACAGTTGAGAAGGTTGAATGCAGAAATCATTTACTGAGGAATTTTTGTAATAAGATGCAATCACTTCAAACCGAAACTAAATATTTAAAAAGTCACAGAAAACTGTTAACAACATCAAGAATCATGACTATGAGATCCTGCATAAAAAAAGCAATTAAGCAAGGAGCAATATTTATTTGATGACATTTTGCAAGCACATCATCATGCTTTTGGGAATCACCTTGAATGCAAAACACATTTCTGTGATAAAACAGGAAATGTGGAGCAAAATGATATTCTAAGTGATTTTAAGCTAAGTTCTCTGTGGAAGAGAATCTTTATTATGATTCAAGGTATTGCCAGCCATGCTCGAAGTTTACTTCATGATGTGGACAGCAACGTGGTGGAACGCTATCACAGCATCATTGCGAAATATGTAGGAGGGAAGAGAGTTAACTTTTCCCTCAAAAATTCGTATGAGACGCGATGCATTGCTTCAGCAGTGTCGTTCAATGAAGAAAATTCACTGTCAAAACTATATAAGAAAATGACCAACAAAAGCCCAAGAGGTAAGCTGAAGATGTGGGAAGAAAGAAAACGTAAACAAAAAGTACTTAGTAAAAGGTATACAAAAAAGAAAAGACGACTAGTTTTCAGCCAAAAATGCAGTGATAAGGATTATGGCCAGTCATGTGAAAAACCTGATATGCCGGTAGAAGTACTGGATAAAATGAAAAACGATTTCATGAAATCTTTAAAAAAGACGGATGAGGAGCGAGCAATAATTGAAAGAAAAACTATTTTACAAAGTGCTAATGGAGAATGGCTTGAGATGAGAAGATCTTTATTGACTGCATCCAATTTCGCCAGGGTTGTAAAAAAGGCGTACTAATACACCATGTGCTAATTTAGTAAAAGATATACTTTACCGAAAAAAAAAATTGATCACGTAGAATCCATAAGCCATGGCCAACAAAATGAAAAAACCGCCCTTGCACAATTGGCTGTACAAGAACATATAACCATTAGACCCTGTGGTTTATTTATAGACCAAGAATTATGTTTCTTGGGTGCAACGCCTGATGGATTAACTGGAGAACATACTGTGGTTGAAGTAAAGTGTCCTTTGACAGCCAATAAAATGGGCCTTGCAGCAGCAATTGAAAAGAAAAAAGTTAACTTCTGGCAAAAAACAAAAACAGGTAAATTTGTCATTAACAAAAAACATGCTTGGTATTACCAAGCTCAAGGGCAGCTACACGTGACTCAAAGAAAATATTGCCTATTTGCCGTATGGGAGAATGAAAAAAGAAAAGCTAAAGACGGAAATAATTAAACGAGATAATTTTTGGGAAAAAGAAATGAAAGAAAAACTATCAAAATTCTATTTCGACTGCATATTACCTGAGATACTTGATCCCCGAATGTCAAGAAATATGACAATTCGTGAACCATACATAAAAAATAAAAATACGGACAAAGACAAAAGTGAAAAGAACGACGAAAAGTGAAAACAAAGACAAAATCGAAAACAGGGGTAAAATCGAAAAGAAAGAAAAAAGCGAAAGCAAAGATAAAGATAACGACAAAATTACGCCAATCCAAAACTATGACGAAAATTATTCACAACAAATATCAACGTCTACACGTTACTTAGATTTTAGTAGATTTTAGGAACAAAAATAAATGAAAATTATTTTATAACACATTATAACGTTCACTGGTCACGCATGATAAAGGAAACGTTACAAATAATCCGAATGCACAGTTTATTCACTTAAATAGTAACAGTATAGGCAATATTTGACACGTAAGTACATACACGGCGTCTCGCGAACGCAGCGCGAGCGCGGGATCAAACAATAATACACATATGTATAGCTCAGAGCTAGTCGGCTAGCATACTGCTTGTATCGGCAGTCAAAGGTTCGGACGAGTGGCGCGATCCCGTGGCGCAGGTGGGGCACCGTACGAGAGGGGATAGAGAGACATCGGGTGACATAGGTAAGTATCGGCGCGCTACATACTCCCCCTTTTGACCAAGAGGGAACATCACGAATGGTCAAACTATTAGTTAGCGCCTAGCTGCGATCCTTACGCGGACGACCCCTACGACGCTTAGGAGCAACCGGCTCCGGACATTCTTCACCACCCCTGTCATGGTATTTACGCAGATCCGACACATGATACTTACCAACGCCTTCACCAGTCTTCTGCGAAGTTAGAAGGTAGGTAGTTGGACTGACCTGTTTGGAGATCACATACGGACCATCCTGCTTCGGGATGTATTTAGAATTAACACCCTTAGCAGCATTACTCAGGACATGTGTCTTCATGAGTACGAGATCACCTTCTTGTAACGGATCCGAACCACGGCGATCGGAATCGGCTTGGAGCTTACGAAGATCCTGTTGATGTTCAATGTTCTCCTTAGCTTCCGAGAGAGAGTCAGCAAGCTTCAAGAGGTAAGGCGTAATCTGAGGGACAAAGTTTTCAGACTCGGTGACCGCTCGTAGATCAGCCTGAACCGACAAAGGAGACCGGAGCTCACGTCCAAATGTCAAGAAAGCCGGAGTGGTACCCGTAGAAACGGTGACTGAGCTATTAAGAGCAAATCGGACGAAAGGCAATATCTCAGACCATTGCTTATGGTTACCCTCCACGAGAATGGCGAGGTGAGATTTGAGGTCCCGATTCTTCCGTTCCACAGGATTCGCTTCTGGGTGATACAAAGGCACCAGGCTCTGTTTTACGCCTAGGACAAACAGAGCCTTCTGCATAACATCAGCCACAAACTGGACACCGTTATCGGAGATCATCCGCCTAGGAAGTCCATACCTCATAAAGATTTCACCAACAAGAGTTTTCGCACAGTTTTCGGCTGTCAAAATCCACCTTTCACCCTGAGGTCCTTTGGGTAACGGTCCAAAGAGATCGACGGCGATGACCTCGAATCGTTGAGCCGGTACCGGAGTCTGGAGTAAGCCGGGCGGTTTCAAGTTGGAAGACTTATACCGCTGACACTCAGTGCAGGTCTTCAGGTAATCGGTGATATAGCGTCTCATACCAGGGAAATAGAACTGCTGGGATATACGATGCAAAGTCCGTTGAATACCTCCATGAGCGGCGGTTGGCGAGTCATGACACTCAAACATAACTTTGCCCCGCAAACTCTCAGGTACTACCAGCTGAGGCTCCTCAGTATCGGTGTTGTCCACGTACCGGTACAATACACCTTGGTTTATCAGGTACCCCCTCTCCGACCACCGATGAACTGACAGCTCATCAGAACTTTCCAAGTCCTTAAGGATTTTGGCTACTTCTGGATCAGCCAGCTGGGCTTCACGGGTTGATGTAGCATCCCAACGTGGAACATCCACAGACACGGGGCAGACACCACATTCCGTCAAAGTGCTATCGATGACTGGACGGCTGAGTGCGTCAGCTAGCACGTTAACCTTCCCAGGGGTGTATTCCATTTGGAGACCAAATGATTGTAGCTTTAAAGCCCAACGAACAAGCCTACCACTAGGCGATTTGACAGAAAAAAGCCACTTCAGGGGTTGATGATCACTTCTGACCACTACCTGGTGACCATCAATATAGCCACGGAATCTTTCCACGGCCCACACAACTGCTAGCGCCTCCCGCTCCGTAGTGGTATAATTTTTCTCGGCTGATGTGAGGAGACGGCTCGCGTACTCGATTGGGTGTTCATCCTGTGGAGACTCCCCCTGGAGTAAAGCTGCTCCTAGGGCAAAATCGCTGGCATCCGTCCTAAGGATAAATGGCTTCGAGTAGTCTGGCTGAACAAGAATGGGTGGTGAAGCCAGAAGGGACTTAAGATGTACGAAGGCTTTGGCCTGATCATCTCCCCATTGCCAGATCTGTGACTTTTTGGTAAGGCGCGTAAGCGGTTCAGCTACCTTCGCAAACTCTGGTATGAACTTCCTAAACCAAGAGCAAGTTTGCAGGAAGGTACGAAGTTGCTGGAGATTAGTCGGTTCTCTCATCTCTAGGACAGCACGCACCTTATCTTCGTCTGGAGATATACCGTCGTTGGATATTACGTGACCTAGGTATTTGAGCCGGTCCCTAGCGAACACGCATTTTTCACGGTTGGCTCTTAACTTGAACATCCGAAGACGCTCAAATACCGCACGTAAATCAGACAAATGGGACTCAAAGTCCTCTGAAATTACTAATAGGTCATCAAGATAACCTAGAATATGCCTACCACCAAGTGAAGGTCCTGACCGGAAGCGATCTATGAGACGCTGGAACGTTGCCGGAGACCCCTTCAGGCCGAACGGCATACGCGTGAAGCGGTAGGTCCCAAAAGGTGTAACGAAGGCCGTTTTATCCCTATCCGCCGTACTGACCTGCCAGTACCCACTACGGAGGTCTAGCGAGCTCATCACACAGCCCTTCTTGGTCGACTGTAACAGCTCGTCGATACGCGGCATGGGGTATGCATCTGTCTTGGTAACCGCATTTAGCTTGCGATAGTCTACACAAAACCTATAGGTACCATTAGACTTCGGTACCAGGACGCATGGTGCGGCCCAGGCGGATTCGCACTCCTCAATCACACCATCAGCCAGCATCTTGTCTAACTCGGCGCGCATGATTTCCTTCTTCGCAGGCGTGACCCGATACGGGGGCACAGCAATCGGCGGGTGGTCACCGGTATCTATATGGTGTTCGGCGAATGGTGTCGGTTCTCCGACAACATCAAAAACGTCAGAATACTCACCTAATAGATTCGCCAGTCTAGACCTCTCCGACTCCGATAGCACGGTGGCCTCGTCCTCTCGCAGCACGTTCAATGCGGCGGCGCACTCAACAGGTTCGCGACGAGTCTCCCATGACAAGGCGTGAAATGTCCGGGGCTGATCAACTGTACGCCAATTCCATTTATCAAAATCAATAATCATTCTAGCCTTTGTTATAAAGTCAATACCTAACAAAGTATCGTTATTGACGGCATTCGGTAAAATAATGAACTCGATAGGTATACTTAAGGAAGCAAGTTGAACATTGACCTCCGTGAGTAGCACCTCCCTATTCCTAATAGTACCGTCCGCAAGCTTTACCGACATCATTTCGGTACGAAAATTTAAACCGATACGTTTCATTAACGCATAAAGTGAACAACTCGCAACACTACGACGCGCGGCGGTATCTAACAACGCGGTACCCGAGTATCCCCCTATACTCACTCGTACGATAGGCCGACCTTGCTCCTTACAATCGGATTTCGAATTCGAGATGCAATTATTAACAAAGATGGACGAAAATACATTTTCAACTTTAATGTCATCATTAGAAGGTATACTTTGTAAACATTTAGGGCAATTTACTCTAATATGACCTTTCTCGCCACAATTATAACAAACAATACCTGAGTTAGAAGAATGAGATCTTTTACTTAACTTATCACAGGAGTCACGGACGTGTCCTCGCGTTTTGCAGTAAACACAGAATAGCTTTCTCTCACCATCACTATTTTTGCTCACACAATGATCACTACGCGGCACAGGCACACGGTCGCGTGATGACTGCGAAGCGGAGTCGGGGGCGCGCAGTTGCGGCGCCGTCGAACTCGAACCCGAAGTACTATGTTGAAGTCCCTCGCCATGCCTGCGGCTAGGTCTCGCGGGCCCACTCAGCGGCGACGCCAGCGGTTGTGGCGGCGCGAGCGGTGGCAGCGCAGCGTTCTCCGTCAGCGACTCTTCTATAGCTCGAGATCTTTCAATGAGAGATTCGATGTCATTCACCGTATCTCTCGACAATCGTTTTCTGATTCTCTTATGTAGAAGCCCATAAATCATATCTAATCTCGCTTCCTCTGGTAATTCATAGGGTAGTTTCGCTAACAAAGCCCTTATC